GTCCCCGGTATTTCAGTTCTGATCAATTGCTGCAGGACTTTTAGCTTTTTTTGACTTCTAGCTATCCTACAGAAAACCATAAACTTCAGCTTTGCCCATGTCCATTCCAGAAATGGTATGTCCTGGCACTGCCAATGGACTTGGCAGATATAACGTGCACTTTAAGGGCTTTCCTAACTGAAGCAACCTCAGTGACTTTCAGAGTAGCAATTATCTTCAATTCTTTCATCAATTATCTTCAATTCTTTCATCTCCAGATGAAAGACCACACAAACAGTTAATTCAAATCCCCCATCTCCCAGAAGCCCCCCACTATCCCCAGTCACCACTGCCCTACTTTTTTCCCTCATCAACACCCAAAAGACTGAACCTACTCTTCCTTGAGGCTCACATTTCCTGATGTGATGGCTCCCTTTGTTACAGCTTCTTTGCCATGTATATTATAAAAAAAATCTTATCTCAACTTGAAGAGTTGCTGGTTTGCAACCACACAGACACACTTGCTGCTTCTTACCTAATTTCTCCCACTACCTCAAACAGAACAGAAGGAAAATCAAGACAAAACTTCTGGGTGTTTGCAGCAGCAGTCAGAGGTAGCATGAGGTGCTCCATTGGATCCAACTGTTTCTATAGCTCTGTAGGACACAAAACTGAAAGCAAGGTGTGTCAGAAGGCTTTTATCACTGAGGAAATTAATGGGATATGGCTCAGCACTGCCTTGATTTCTAATACCTACAAAGAGCCTGTATTAAAAGTTACCAGCACTCTTAAGATGAGGATATCAAGCACAAATTAGAACAGTACTCAGCAGCAGCAACAAAACAAAACCGAAACAACACCGAGCTACAGAGCGATGGCTTCGTAATTCACATGCATAGAAAGGAAACATCAGACTCAAAATGAAAACTGAGATCAAGAAGACGTTGGGATTGTTTAAATCACAAATGAGATAGGTTACATGCACCAGCTAGAACAAGTCCAGAGGAGGCCACCAGGATGATCCGAGGGCTGGAGCAGCTCTGCTGTGAGGACAGGCTGAGAGAGTTGGGGCTGTTCAGCCTGGAGAAGAGAAGGCTCCAGGGAGATCTTATAGCGGCCTCCCAGTACCTGAAGGGGCTCCAGGAAGGCTGGGGAAGGACTTTTCATAAGGGTAGTTAATGACCAAACAAGGGGAAATGGGTTTAAACTGAAAGAGGGGAGGTTTAGATGAGATATTAGGAAGAAGTTCTTCACTGTGAGGGTGGTCAGACACTGGAACAGGTTGCCCAGGGAAGTTGTGGATGCCCCCTCGCTGGAAGTGTTTAAGGCCAGGCTGGATGAGGCTTTGAGCAACCTGGTCTAGTGGAAGATGTCCCTGCTGATGGCAGGGGGATTGGAACTGGATGAGCTTTAAGGTCCCTTCCAACCCAAACCATTCTATGATTCTATGAAAGCCTAAACCCATTCTCAGGCTGAATAGCCAAGACCACACGTGGCACCACACAGCAGTGCAGGAGAAAACAAAACCAGCATGTCTCTGCGATCTGTGTAAGATGAACTAGAAGAACTACTGGGAGGAAATGAGAGAAGGAAGGAGACTTAAATATGTAAACTTTCTTCTGAGAAAAAAAACTCAGCGGTGTGCCAGAAATCCAAAATACCAATAGTCACTAGAAACACAGAATCACTTCCTAGCAAGTTCAATCCAAGCCTTTTGTCCTCCTCAAGAGGAAGGACTGTGTTCCCTATCCCTTCACCCACTACCAAGCTCCCATCTGTAAGCTTCAGAGATTTCACAGCTCCATGATTTTCATGATTTTTTTTCTTCCACTTTGCTGCATAAAATCTGTAGCTTTGGCGGCTCCACCCTAGAGAGGGCTGAGTTTTACAGCTATTTGTCAAATAGCAGTAACAGTCTCGGGTTTGTTTCTACAATGATGATAATCCTTGCCATAAAGAACTTGCATTTTAAGAGCTATGTCTCATTTGTGACTCACTCGACCTGTGTTAAGTAAAGCAACAGCTACAAGGCTGGTCACAGGAGCCTCAAATCCATCGTGGGCTGCAAACTGCTCCTGAAGCAACAGCCCGGGTGCGTCAGCAAAGCTCCCCGGAGCCCAGAGAGCTTCAACCCTGCTCATACTGCTGCTGCCTCTTTTCTGGGATGAGATGAAACAGGAAATCCAAAGAATCAGGGTGTCAATTCTTTTACTGTATTTGCTGAAAAGCTCCTGACGGCAGGAAGAACGGGAACAAATCTTTACAAGTCTTGAAACGGGCAATAACCGGCGCTGCTAATGAAGTGGTCTGAGAGGCACTGTAGAGAGCAGCACAGTGACAGAAACACAGGAAGGGGGAAAAAAGGGTTTTGAGACAGACTGCTGCGAGCAGAAAAAAACCCCACAGAGCCAGGCCTGGAGATGCACTCGGGCACAACACCAGAGTCAGAGCCAGGGAAGATGAGCAGCACAGTGAAGACATTGTGAGATCCTAAAATCAGAGAAAAAGGGCAGTGACAGTCATGGAGATGAGTAAAATGACTCTGGGCATAGAGCCCACCACAAGAACAGTGCAGGGAAAAAAAAACCACCCACACTGAGGTCCAGCAGGGCTTTCCATGTCCCAGATGCTCAGAATGAAAACCAAGGAGCTGGGGGTGATGCAATCAAAGACCTGGGCTCCTTGTTCCTGCTGCCACTTGAGATTCTCCAGGATAGGAAGCGCAGGAAGCGAAGGAGAAGTTTGAAGTTTGGGTTTTTCCAAGGCCAACGCCGTTTTGTTTGCTGAGCTTCGTGCTGTCACTGCTTCCCTTTCAACAGGAATCATGAAGAATGTGGTGGCTGTGCCCCAGCAGACCAGGCACAGATAAACTTCTTGCCCTGTCAGAAGCTCACTGAAATACAACACTTTGCATTTCACTTACAGTGGCCTGTTACTTGATGTTCATGAGCGTACAAGACATGGGAAATGTCACTTTTATACCAAGCTTTCCCAATACAGCTGTTATGACAGCTGTGCTATTTCACACAGCCATTGCTTTATCTTAAATAAAATACCAGGCACGTTTAATCTACTTGTCTGGGCAATGACAGGACCAGATCAAAAAAAGGAAAATATGACAGGTTTTTAAATTGAAAAGCCTCAGCTAAATGAGAGTGGACCTACTCCTGGCAGAAGCAGTGTGCTTTCACCACCAAAACTCCTCCCTCTCCTGAAAACAGCTGAGCCTTAACATCTCACACTCATGGGTTACTTCTGAACATTTTACAGTTTATACACTTCACACAAACCAATTTTTAAGTAATTCGTGGCACTTGGGAGAATTCAGCACTATGGATAATATAAAAGAAGCTGATCAAACAAAACCAATTTTGAGAAAAGCCCAATCTAATTGTGTCAGATAATATTCCTAGTGCAGCCCTGTGCTATTGTTAGCTATTCCAAGCCAAAATCTGATCATACCGAATATTCAGGAGGTCTTTGCCAGTTTCAGCAGG